GGTCCCTTGGTTAACGAACACAATTCGTTCCAGAAGGTCGTTCGTTAACCGAAAATTTTGTTAACCGAAACCATTGTTTCAATGGGATTTTGGGTAATTGGTTCCAGCTCACTGAAAATTACATACAAACTAAAAATATATGCAGTAAAGTACACTTACTTTGAGGTGTGTATATAGAAGGCTCCTGGTTGATGATGATGGGAAATAGGATGGGGGTAGAGGAGAAGGGAGAAGAGAAGGCATTGGGCTGGAAGAGAAGTCACCCCATGCTGCCATTTCACCCATAAAATTTTAGTTCACTTGGTGTAATTCAAGATTATTTTCTTTAAATCATCACTGCACTGTGCGATATATTGTCAATATGTAAAATAAACTCCAGAATGACCAATAATTGTACTGTAAAAATAGTTTATATACAAGAGAGTCTCAAGCAAGAAGCTTCCTCCACTGAGCTGGGACACAAACTGACGCCATTTTGGGTGTGTTGAGTGGCTGTTTGGCACACTAAAATCTAGTTCCCTGTACTTCAATTATGTTAAATAATTGTTAAAATGACTAAAAACTTTAATATAAAACTTGGAAAATTATTGAATAGTACAACCTTCTTGATATTTATTCAAATGGTAACGAATTTAAGCCCTAAAAACGATTACTGTATTGGCGGACTAATACTACATGTGTGAGCAGGCGAAAACATGTTGGGAAAAATTCGTAAGGAATTCGCTAACCGAAATTTTTTCGTTAACCGAAGTGAAGAATCTTATATTAGGTAATTCGTTAACCGAAATTTCGTTAACCGAGGCGTTTGTTAACCGAGGGATCACTGTATTTGTTTTGATGTTATATTTTTACTATATTTTCATCAGTGAGTTCTGAATAATAATAATTTTTTAGGGAATTGCTTTCGTTTGGTAGATAATTAAGCGACTTGGCGAGTACTACTTTGCCTATCCTGGCGTGATGCAGTGGTACACAGCCAATCATCTCCGATCAACACCAGTAGCCAATATATGTTTGAGCCACACCGATCAGGCCACTGCTCTCATGTAAAAAAAAAAAAAGATAAAATTAAACGATACAATAGTAAGTTCTTTTTGTTTAATAAGCCGGAGGGTTGAGCCTCATGGCTAGTAAGTTAGGGAGGTTTCTTTGATCAGGTTGGTGAGGTCTTCTAACAATGCTTTTGCTGCTTGTTTTTCTCATCAACTATGGTTAGGTTAGGTTTTAGTTTCCTACTTGCCCCCCCCCCCCCGGCCTATGTAAGGGAAATGTTATAGAAGAAATTTGTCTTTGAATTGTCTGAACTACTGATTCCAATAGATTTTTTTAGATTGCCCCCAAGGGGGCTAATTTATTGGGCACCCCTTTACATCCTGTGCAAGGTGAAGCGCAGAAGCGTTTACAGTGCCCATCTGCTTGCTTTTATGACTCATGCATTAAGGGCGTAAAAGCCTGAAGGGTCATGCGTTTTAGCAGCAAGTTACATAAAGTGACAGAATGATGAGTTTGTGGGGGGAAAATTCCTGGTACAATTTATCTGTTAAGGCAAAGCGTGGCAGGTCCCTAATAATGTCAACTGCCAGGCCTGTCTCTAGGAGGAGGGATATCTGGTCAGGAAGGGACGAGGTGTTGGTAATGGCTGGGGACCTGTAGGAGGTCATAGGGCAAGTGAGGATGCAGTGAGAGAGGGCGTGAGAGTGGGGTTGACCACAAAGTTTACAAACAGTGAGGCCAGGCTCAGGATTGCCAATGTACTAGGCGTGGCAAAGTACAGTGGGGGTGTAGGTGATATGGTGTGGTGGGACAGGTACAGTAGGGGTGGAGGGAGGCACATAGGCATTGACAATATTGAGGGACATACCTTTTAGTGTGACAGTGATGGCGTGTGATTCCAATAGTAAAATTCCCCACTTTGGGACTCGAAAATACGTAATTTGACCAAATTTTGGTACGACTGAGGCAGGTCGTAAGTGCAAGTGGACATAAGTTGAATAGGTCGTAAGTCGGGGAGGAGCTGTACTGTATTTTAAACGTTTATATCACCCAGTTTATAATCATAGATGAAGCTAAAATATTATACAACTCCTCCGAACTGTGTTAAATTCATTTCTATTTTTATTTCATTCTGGGAGCCCCCTTGTATAGTTGGTAATAAGCTATAATAACGCTATGACAGCAGTTACCTATGCATGGTATATGTACAGTATATACTAATAGGTATGGATCATCTCTTGAATTGGGTGCAGTAATTTTAGGTACAAGTTATCTTAGGTACGAGTTGGCATGGGTACGAGTTAACTTTTTTGAGTTCGACTTATCTTGGGTATGAGTTGTCTAGGGTACAAGATGACCCTAACCCACAAGTCCGCCTACTTCAAGCAGTACTTGGCACACTACTTGTTAATCACACAGTTCAGCGAGGACAAGCTCTTACACTAGTACCTCATTACTGCCAGCAAGCTCTACACCCCGCAGTCAGAGAAACAGCGGCCAGTGAGACGTGTAGATAACAAGGTGGAGGAACCCAATGACCCCAACTCCAAGTTTTCTGAGTCTAATTCAGGTAAGCAGACAGGTGGATAGGCTAGATTTTAGGGTTAGGTTCAAGTTAGGTTAGGTTAGATTAGGTTAGGTTTTGGATGATTCTGACTTTTATTTCTAGGTAAAATTATTATTTAAGTCATCCACCTATTTGGAAGTAGGTCAGAATCATTAAAAACACATAAAAAATATATGTTATTATATTACTTTCGGCCATAGTGCGCCCGAAGGTTATAAACTGCTTAAACATTTAGATCTCCTTATTCTGAGCCCCATATATATACATGGCAGAAATGGATAATAGCAACACAATTGAATTTAATTGATTTTTTATTTTTTTCAGTCTTCGTCTGTCTGGAGATGTTACCGCCGTGAAACAAAGTTAGTTGTGGGTCACGCAGGCGCAATATTGACTGACGTCATCCAGTCGTCACCAATGATGTATCAAAATCAGCCCGCGAATATTTTGGACCAATCACATTCGCATTTTTCAAAGCAGCCTGGGTAAGGATTTAAAAATCTACGGCTTTGAAATTCAATGACCAGAGACCAGTGTGACAATGGCCGTGGTTGAGGTTGGGTGTTAATCGTGCTCCTACGATTATTTTAAGTTTATTGCCGAGTTTTATGAAAAAGACGATAAAGCTAAAGAATATCTAAGTAATCATGGTGTTCTCCCTAAGTCTGTTGAGTGCCCGCACTGTAAATTTAGAAGAGACAAGCATCAGTGGTTTTGTAATTGGCCAAGGAGGATTGTAAAGAAGATTAAAACGAAAATTTTTAAATATGTGATCTCGGACTTCTAACAAGGTATTGTACTTTCAGACATGGCGCGGCCCAAAGGTTAGGTTAGATGGCTCGTTTTCGTGTTTTCCCCCACCCAAAACCCAGATTTCCCAGGTTTTTTCCCATTATCGTTGGGGTGTCAATTTCCGCCGAAAATGAAGGTCATATTCGTTTAAAACACACAAAAATACACTAGAAACACAAAGTGGTCAACCCCTAGGGTTTCATGTCCGAAAGTAAAAATTTACACAAAATACTTTGGAGAACCTAAACTTAAAATTTGCTGGAAAACCTAAATGATAATAATACCCATTTCTATCACAAATTACGGTATTATTGCGTTTACACACCGTTCATTCCTACCACTAATCTATTATCATATTCGAATAAGACGTCTAATTATAAGATAATTTTCATTTATTACATTACTTGCGGAAATGTATAATAACGGAAATCGCATATCCAAAATTTTCTCTATTTTCTTCCATTAATCTTCCTCCATTACCGCCTGCCTCACGTCCAACACTGCGTGTCTCCTTCATAAATCATCACGCGCATGCGTTTCCGTACACGTCACGCAGCCAATGAAAAGCGTTTTTGCTTTTGGAACCAATTAAAATGATTTTGGGTTTAATTTACAGTATACTGTATTTGGCCCAATCCAATTCGAGTTTTATTTTGGGTCTCATATTTTGAAATTCAAGTTCAGTTCCGACCATGGAAGTCTGCGATGGGTGTCACTTAAAGTATATGGAGCTGATTGCGAGTTTTTGGAAAATAAACGTAGAAACTATAGCATTTTTTCGATCGCATGGTGTTCTTCCAACCTCAGTAAAGTGTACTAAGAGCAAGACTGAATGTAAATATTGCAAAGACCAATATATGTGGCGTTGTGTCAGAATCTCAACTCCAAGACGAACCTGGTCTCCAGGCCAACTAAGGTAAGAAATAGGTGATTCCATCATATGGTGAGTCAGTTAGGTTAGGTTAGGTTTTTGTTTTTCAAGTGTTTTTTGGTGTATTTTGCCAAGATTTTTTTTCGGAAAACGTCCAACGAAAAAAAATTAGAAAAAAACGGCTAATTTCCGCCACAAATGAAGGTCATATTCGGTCTCAACACACACAAATACACTAGAAAAATACATTTTTTACTTTCTAATAGAACGGTGTGACAAAGCAAATTTACCCAAATTACTACTTTTTGTGATTTTCCCCCACCCAAAACCCTTGTTCCCACTAGGGGTCCCCCGTTACCGTTGGTTAAGGGAAGGGTAGCTCAAACGTAGTGATTTGCAGTAGAAATGAAGGCTTTAATTGGTACTTAATTAGAATTGTTCAAAACACATCAAAAACCATAGGAAAACATAATTTCAACTTTCAAATAGGTGGATAACCGAAATGATAATTTTACCCAAATTTTAACAGGCCTACACTAGATTGGCATTATTCTTAAGGTAATGAAACACTTCCCTGAATTAGCCATTTCACGGCTACTTCAGATGTGACCCTTTAGTTTACTATTATATAAAGCCCTAACGGCAATCTTCGCATCTCCTAAAATTCAAATATTATAAACAATGATATATCAGAAAATTCTTCAACAAAACGTACCACTTGGCTGTCTTGCCCTTAATACAGTCCCACACACACACACGTGCACCAGCCAGTCTCACCTTTCCTGATCAACTTATAGATTCTTCCCGCCGATTTCTTAGATGCCATCGGTTTGGCGATGATGCTGACGTATTCAAGCTTGTCTTCATAGCTTATTTCTTCTTGTTCTACTTCAATAACCTGACTTTCGTCGGGGTTATCGGCCTTTTCCTTCTTATTCTTCCCCATGTTTTGGATTCTGTACACAGGAGTGAACGCGGGCGGCACGTGAAGCTCAAGAGGCGCATCACCACCGCCAACCTCCTCTCATAACTACCAGTTCAAACAATCAAACATTTACTTTATACTTTATTCTCTTCACCACTGGTTAGCTCGAAGCTTAGTCAACTAACATAATTCAAAGTAATAAAAGATGACTTTTTCTGTTATTTTGAAACACTTTAATCTACTTCATATTACTGTTATCCATGTATACAAGTACTGTATAGAGAAATGAAAACATTTCCTGAGGGACAACTGCATTCTACTTCCTAAGAGACACCAATTCTATTCAACTTCCTAGGAGACAATTTTATTAAATTTCTTGTGAAACATCAAAATTATTCTATTACCCAATAGTCTTTAAGTTCATCCTATTTCCCGGGGAAATATTCTCTTGTCCTGTGGGGGTATGAGATATTACTTTTACTTTTTACTTTTATCCTCTTCGCCACTGATCGGCTCGCTAGCCGCCCGGGCGATCGGTCACGTCTCTATCACGCACTGTTGGCAAGTACTGGGCATGCACCGGCTCCTGAATGTACCTGAACCCGCTCCAGTGTTGGTCAAGTCTTGTCTTGAAAGAGCTCACACTCGGTGCCGTCACAACACTCTCTGGTAGATTGTTCCAAGAGTTTACAACCCTCACTCCGAAAAAGTTTGCCCTCACGGTTTTCTGGACTTGCGGCTTCTTCAATCTTGAGCTGTGACCCCTTGTGGGGCGAGCGTCCGCCAGCTCCAAGTAAGGACACTCAACTGAGTAGTGCCCCCTGAGATGCTTATACACCTCAACTAGGTCCCCCCTTGCCCGTCTGTAGTATAAGCTAGGCAAGTTCAGGCGCTCCAATCTCTCAGGGTAGCTGAGGTGCCGAAGTGCAGGCACCAGTTTGGTGGCCCTCCTTTGAACATTTTCAACCAACTGACAGTCCCTAGCATATCTCGGGGACCAGATGGGGTGACAGTACTCCAGATGGGGAAGCACTTCACTCCTGAAGATCGTTACGAGGGACGGACCGTCTAGATATCTGAACGACCTTCTTATAAGACCCAATAATTTATTTGCCTGATTTACCTTCTTCTCGCAATGGCCCGAGAACTTCAGCTCATTGTCAACATACACACCTAGGTCCTTCTCACACACAGTCTCAACTAGTGCAGTTTCTTCATCCCGTTGGGACATATGATACGCCTCCTTACCGTTGGTACGCCCCAGGTGCATCCTCTTACACTTCGTGACATTGAATCTCAGCAGCCATTTCTTCGACCATTCCTGGAGCCCACAGAGGTCCTTCTGCAGCTCTTCACAGTCCGCTTGGTTCTTAATTTCCCGAAATAACTTGGTGTCATCGGCAAACATTTGTATGGAGGAGTGTACAACGTCAGGCATGTCATTTATGAAACAAACAAACAACAGCGGGCCCAATACACTGCCCTGTGGTACCCCACTTGTGACAGGTACAGATGACGATTTCGTGCCATTAATCACCACACACTGCTTGCGGTCATGTAGAAAGCCTTCTATCCACGCTAGGACATTTCCCCGAATTCCGTACCCTTCCAGTTTGATTTTCAGCCTTTCGTGGGGTACACTGTCGAAAGCCTTGGCAAAATCTAGGTTAATATTGTCGATATTACCACCCCGTTCCAGAATATGGGTCCAAATATCCAATACCTTGAGCAATTGTGTTAAGCAAGAGCAGCCCGGCATAAAACCGTGTTGGCAATCTTTTACAAGGTTGTTTCGTATTAGATGTTCCATTGCGGCATCTCTGATAATACTCTCAAGTACTTTACATATTAGGCTGGTCAGGCTCATCGGTCTATAGTTGTTCGTGGAGTGACGATCGCCCTTCTTGAAGATAGGACTCACATAAGCCACTTTCCATTCACTGGGGACCATTTGTTCATCCAGGCATCTACAAAACAGGATCTTCAGGGGCTCTGCAAGCTCGTTGCACAACTCTCTTAGCACTCTAGGATGCACCATGTCAGGTCCGGGACTCTTATGGACCTTTAGCCTGGACAGTTTATTTCTAATACCCTCTTCTGTGAACACAATGTGGGTCAGTGCTGTGTCGAACCGTCTGTCCTCAAACGCAGGAAGGTTAGTTGTATCCTCTCTTGTGAACACTGAGGAAAAGAAGCTGTTCAATGCCTCAGCTTTATCCTGGTCAGAATCTGCGTAACTACCATCCACCAGCCTCAGGTCTGATACTCCTACTCGTGTTCTCAATTTCGACTTTGCATAGCGGTAAAACGCCTTTGGGTTTGACTTGACCTCGCTTGCAACCAGCCTCTGGAACTTCTTTTCAGCCCTCCTACACTCTATCTTTGCTTGGTTTCTGGCTCTTGCATACATCCTCCTGTCTTGCTCATCGTTTGACCCAACCCACGTCTTGAATTTCTGGGTTTTCTTCTTAATTTTGTCGACCGCCGCATGGTTCGCGTGTAGGGATCCCCTCGTATTCCGAGAAGCACTGGGTTTGGTCTTGGGTATATATTTATCGATCAAATGGGTCATTTTACTAGTTATGACATTCAGCGTAGTGTCTGCGTTCTTTTACCTTAATAAGACAGGTCAGTTGATACCCCTCATCTCTTCCCTCATCCCATTGTAATTTCCCTTGTAATATTTGCACCTTGGCCTGGCCTTATCTTGAACTAGGTAACAGTTAAATCTGAATGACAACACTGTATGGTGACTGGTGTCAACTGGGGCAAGGTGTTCCAGTTTGGCCACCATACCCTCCTTGTTTGTTATGATGAGGTCAAGTGGCTTGGGTGTTTGCTCCCCTCTGTAATGTGTTGGGTCTCTAACATGTTGGAACAGAAAATTATCTCTCAGAGTTTCTACGAAAAGAGTAGCAGGGTTATTCAAGTCATTCGGGGTGGACTCTTTTCTCCAGTCGATGTCGCCATAGTTAAAGTCCCCCATGATAAGGAGGTGGCTAGGGTTGAGCATCGCCGCGTTGTTTATTAAGGTTCTTAAGTTCCTTTGATTTAGTGGGCCACAGTTTGGGGATCTGTAGATACACCCTACGATAAGTAAGTCCCCTCCCTTTAATTTAATTTTACACCACTTGGGCTCTTCAAAAACATCCTCTCCCTGTACCCTCGCCGGGCTGGCTCTCAGGTCTTGCCTAGCGTAGATAACCACACCCCTCCTGCAGGATTCTTGAGTTAGGTTCGTAAATGAGTCATATCCAGCAATACTGAACTCACATTCCTCTGAGTCGATTCTCCTGTTTTTGTACAACAGTTCTACAACACCTACAATATCTGGTTGGTGTACTCTTAGTAGTGGTTCAAACTCCTCTCTCTTATCAAGGAATGTGTCAATATTAGTGTACATGACATTCAAGCCAGAATTTGTTCTCGGTAACGTCTCTGCTCTTAGTAATAAACCCGCTCCCCCCACATTCTCAGAAGCTGCAGCATTTGCTAAGTGCACTGTACTTTGCAGGGTGTGGTTAGAAATGCCATTGTTTACACGGCGCTCGTTCCCTCCTGTCCGGTAGGCTGAGCTGGTGCCGCCTCCCGGGTGGGGGGTTGAGTGGGTGGAGGGTGCACTGCTGCCCCCAGGCCCGGTTTCAGCACACTTGTTTCCACTACCCTCCCCCTGAGTATAACCCACGTACACCTGTCCCCGTTTCTCCTCGACTCCTCCCTCTTCTGCTTCAAGTCCTGCAGGAGCTTCTTGTGCTGTTCCCTCTGCATTACCGTGCGGTCTGGGTGAATAAATACATCCCGAAATGCCTCGCTCCTTGCTAAGTTTTTTGCCTGGTTCACACTCAGGATGGGATGGAGAAAGGAAACTCACAATGTGCTCACTGTATACATATTGTAGGGGTATCGAGTTATTAATGTTGTCTAGTACTCAGGATGGAAGGAAACTCTAATGTGGTTTTCTTGTATAATATATAAGTTATATGATAGACAATCTGGTGCTGGAGATGCCGTGTGGTTGGGAGCTGCTCAGTAGAAGATGTTCGGTGAGTAGCGTGTTGAAGGAGGTAGATGTGCAGGAGCTTCGTTAGAGAAGATGTTGCCTGTTGCTGGCCTCCTGGTTGAAATAAATGTTAACAGCGTGGAGCTTGCTGGAGGAGGTGTTGCTTGTTCAGGAAGATGGGCAGAATGAGAGTTGGTTGGTGAGGAAGCTCAGAGAAGGACAGCTGGCGGGTCGCCATGCTCGTTGGCGGGAGCGAGGACCGCCAGGCAGGCGAGGAGGAGCTAAGGCAGCCAGGCAGCGGCGGAGGAGGAGGTGTTGCTAGTTCAAGAAGAATGGTCAGAATGAATCTCAATGGAGAGACAGAGCTTATATACCCAGCAGCAGCCGCCAGTCCTCTATGAATCATGTTGGGAAAACCCAGAAAGTTGCCGGTGACTAGTTTCGTTGCTAAGCAACGGTAACATCTGGTTTCAGCTCTCGCTTGGTTGCTAGGAGACGCCAGCGCGTCGGAATGCGGTAACAGGTGGTGGCTGTGGCTACGCAGTTGTAAGCAGTTGTAGGGGAGACGGCCACTACAATATTGTATTGGATGTACAATGCAGCTTGTTGCTGGGTAGGTAGCATGGTAATAAGAGTTGAGTAGAGAGAGCTGGGTGGTGAGGGTGCCCAGAGTGAGGGCACGCGGCTTCAGGGACGCCAAGGTCGCTGGCGGGAGCGGCAGCCGCCAGGCTGGCGCGGAGGAGGAGGTGTTGCTTGCTGGTGGCACTGGGTAGAAAAGAGGGTGATCACAGCGGTGTCAGGCCTTATAAGGCCGGGGTAGGCGTGGGTAGATAGTTGACCCCCGCTCCGTGGGCGGCGCTGGAGGCGTAGACTGGGGAATTCAAGAAGGTTCGGTGCTTGTAGGGGAGGAATCCACTACAACGTCATGCTAATTGAAAATTATATTTATATTGATATTTATTGACAGCATGCTTATACAGTACTTAACCGAGTAGGATGACAAATTTATTTATAACCCCCCATATTTTGCATTCTTCAATTTCAAAGGTGAAAAAAGTATTGATAGCACTCTTT